GAGGAAGGTAGTGGGGGCGGGACGAAGAAGCACTTGTAGGACTTGTTGTAACGAATTGGAATTACCATGACGAGAGGACGACTGTACGTAAAATTGGTTCACGTCTTGAGAGCCCCGTCTCGGAGCATGTTTTCCCCTCGAAAGTCCTCAGTCTATTGCGGTAGCTTAGGTTTTTGCACAAGCAGTCGTTCAATTGCTTCAAGAGGATCTGCGCTGCCTGTCTCGCTTTCGCCTTATATTGATTTATTGATTCGCATATATTCTTTATCTTATGGAATGACGAAGTCGTGCTAAATGCATGAATATTCAGGTGCCGAACTGCTCGACAGTAATCAGCCACAGCCATTTCAACCTCGATCCCCAGGGACCGATGGGACCTCTCCTGAAGACGTTAGAGGTAGCCATAACATTTTGTACCATTGATTTGTGATCCTCAAAACACATCTAACATAAGATTTTTATGGCCTCATCAACGAAGGAATTCGACATCGGATACCGGGAATGTTCTGCAAAAAGCTCAAGCATCTGATCGAAGAGAACTCACCACGTCTCTTCGAAAAACTTGTTCGAACTGAATTCCAAGAGCATTTCAAGGACTTCCGCCTCATCGATAGTCCAGTGATAAAAAAGTGAGTTGCGTGCGGAGATGAGTGAGATGTTAGGTAGAAAGTGTGGGGGAGACAGAGTGGCTCTCCATCCATCCCCCTTCCACACCCCTCGTGCGATCTGAGAGGAATGCACCTTTCAAGGGACAACCTGCAATTGCAACTCGTGGGAGAGAGATCAACGTATGTTCCGCATGCACTAGTTGATTCACTGGTGAGGTGAAAACAGAATAGAATCATGGAAAATTCCTTCAGTAAGGTCCTAGCACTGGACTGGTGCTTTGTGACGGCATGAGATAAGGGACAAAGGTTGATATAACAGGAAGACAAGCACGACGTGACAGAGCGTCCTGCGCAGAAACAAATGAAACTCCTTTTACACCCCCTAGATACAGTGCCGCCTGCGCAGCCCAGGCCCATGGAACAAGGGTCGTGCAACTTCTGTTGGTTTCGTCCTTTTGACTAATGGGGACCGCACCCTCTTCCTCACATTTAAAGGCTGAGCCCGCATTCAAACTTGATGAGTTATGCGGCTCAAATACTTGTAACAAGGTAGCAAGTAACCCCTTAGTGAAGAAAAATCAGAAAGAAATCATAGGGAAGGCTTGCTTAACTGAGGTTGTACGTGCTCAAGGCGAAGAGAAGGTGCGGTCGCACGAGTTCTCACTTGTTGATATCAGCTGTTTTCCCTTATCACCTCACTCTCACCACTCGACGTGGAGAGAAGCAGCAGCGGAAAACCGCACCATCAGGTAACCATTAGAAATGAATGGTGGGCGGTGCCAATGATTGTAGGTTGGGTCAATGATAAGAACGACGGCATCGTGGGCTTCCTCACTCGTTTTTGTGCCGCGAAAGTGGTGCAGTTATTGCCTCTGCGGAACTGACTACCTGCTCACGAAGGGAGAGGAAAATCTCAACTGAACGCGGGCACTGCCTTTAAGCGAATGAGTCAGCCTCTAAGACTGTAGACCGGGGCATTTGCAGAAGGAAGGGCTCTTACGAGTGAGGTAATCGCTGAATGTGTCTTCAAGTAACCGAGACCGAGTGCCAGAGAGCTGGCTTATCTCGTGGAAGTGAGAAGGACAGGGGGGGGGGGGAGTTTAGGGCTATCACTAAAGGCTGTCCTGCAATGGCTACAGGGCACGCAATCGCGTTGTGATCATTTCCCGAAAAATCCTGCCCCTGTTCTATCATCAAATATTAGGTTGGCGGGAAAGTTCTGTCATACTTTTTTGAACCCAAGTATTCGCCTATTACCTGAAGAGGGCTAACCGGTAATGTGAGCATTTATACATTAAGGATTGATCTTTCTATTAGTGTCACTGGCTCGGCTCCTGCTCATCCTTATTCTGCATTATGGACAAGAATGTTATCCGCTACCTTCAGCACCGACCCCTTCAAGCGCTTCCTTAAACTATTTCTTCTACCACCCTGGCGCCAGCATGGCAGCTGTCGAAATAATGGAGCTGCACAAGGACAATGTCTACAGTCATCAGACAATCTTCCACGACGCTAGCTCTTCAGAGCGGGAGCCTACGGTTCGAATGACGAAGTGAGGTTCGGGAGTACCTGTAAACTCAGCTCTAGATAGCGGTGGGTCGGGAAACTACTGGATGAAGAAGCTGCCTCCTCGGTCAATCCGTACGCAAGGCAGCTACGAGATCTGAAGCGAATCAAGCAGAGGGCAAAATCCATCGGCACAGTCCGTCTTCAACGTGCTGGTGCAGCACACCCCGTCAAAAAAAGTTCGAGCCGTACTTCATGCAATAGAGCTGGATGGCTCTCCCCTTGCACCGGTGTAGTCCAGACATTGCTCTTTCTGACTGCTAGTCGCCTCCCGTATTCAACGTTATACAGCCGAGAAAACCTCCACGACTTGAGCCCAAGTCAAAGTTGAGATGATGTCCAACTTTGCGTCGCGCCGGCGTGCATTGTTAAGCGATGGCATCCACGAACTGTCCAAAAACTGGCAAGGATCTCTCAATAACATTGCTGTATAATTTTGATCTTGTACGCCTCTCTGTAAAAAGAAAGTCTTTGAAAAATGTGACAGAACTTTCCCGCCAACCTAATAATATCCATCCTCCCACTCCCCATGCTACATACCTACCACTTTCCTAGATTTTCCCAAGTTCCTATCAGTTCTTCCATTTTTCCGAAAAAATTCCAGTTTTTCAGCAAAAAATCTCCCGTCGAGTGGGTGGGGGAGGGGGCTATACTCCCAATGTGAAACAGGAAAATTTCTCAGATTTTCCCCAACCTCCCACAGTTTGGCAGTCCCTCTCCCAACAACGACTAAATACGACCCTCCCCCTTTATAGCGTCCGTGAAACAAGAGAAATCAACTATCAAAATTTTTTTCTCTGACCAAATACGATCCCCCTTGTGGTCATCACAACGATGGCGTGCCCTGCCTCTGAATCTAAGCTTTGACCAGGCGAATGAACATCAACTTGCTGTCGCGTCCCCCTCCCATTGAACAAGTCTGGCACCCTGGAGAGGTTGTAAACGATATTTGTAAAAGGAATTGATTCTAAGAACCAGGAGTTGTACTAAAAATAGGCAATGTTTATGAAATTTGATGTTAACCATAGTTCAGATTCGTTAACGACTTCGTAAGAGGCATGTACATCAACAACTTACACATAAGCAGTCCTATCGTCACTAACGAATACTTTGAAACTCAACAAAAAGGTACGTGAATTGCTCATTCAATAAATCCTGTGCTATCAGTTGCGCGATTTGGCTTGAGGGGGGGGGCATTTAGCCTGTTCCCATCCATCACTGCCGATGCCTCATACGGAAACCTGGGAACTCTTCTAAAGCAATGCAATGGCAGGAACTTCATTAACGATGGCAAGAGTTCACACGTCTCAGCTAGATGAGGCGTGTAATTCAAGAGGAATTAGGAAAAAAAACTGGCGCTAATGGGAAATGCTCTCCACCACCTTCGTTATGCCGAACAGCGCTGTGCGTAGGTGCCCGCACTCAGGGTCGTTTTTTTTCACGCCAAGTTTTAGGACAGCAAGGTTTTCGTTGCTCACTCTTATGTCATATAGTAAGCAGCTGGACCGAGGTATAGTTTTGGGGAGAATCAAAAATTTGCGGACGAGATACGAAAAGATCAAAAACATTGGACGACATAATAGGCAAAAAAAAATTGAAATATTGATTCTCTCGGTATCAGGATCGCTGGACAAGCTATCATAGAGACGACACTGAGTATGGCGATACCTGTTCTCATTGATTACTAGGGAGCACCTTCATTTTCATCATTCCAGGTGAGATTCGCTACAGCAGTAATGACGAAGTCACGCCATTCTACCCAAGGTAAGGCTTACGGTATTTTGTTTTGTTGCAGATGAAAGCGCTATTGGGTCTAGTGGAAAAGTTTCCGGCGGCATATTTTCATCACGTTTTCACCTTCACAACATGTTTGCTATCTACAGAGTCTTGTTCGCTGCGGATGAGTGGGCGTGTCAGGTGAGCTAGGGGTGGGGTCGGCAAGCCACGAGCCGTTGTTCGCCAGTTTTTGAAACGGGTAGGCGGCAACGATTGATGGAAAACGACTGATGCGATCGACTTGATTCAGCCTTGTCGTTTGTCGAAAGAAAGGAAAAGAAAAAACGGGCTCCTGCAGCGTCAAACGCATCCCTTTCTACACGCCTCATCCGCAGCGAGCAGTACTGGAACTTATTTGAAGGCCATTGAATAGCTCTGGAGTGGAGGAGTCGTTCGACATAATAACTTCCTTTCCTTACCTTTTTTCTTTTTTCAGCTTGGTCATAGAACAGGAGAAACTGAGAAGCCTCTTGTATTAGGTTGGCTAATAAGTAATGGCCGTTTTTTTCAATTGAAAAATTTGTTCGAAAAGTGAAACGTTTTGCAAGCAAGTTATATATCATCTGATAGGAAACTTCTCGTAGTATAAGAATATCAAAAAAGCTTTGGTTGAGGATATAGTTTTTGTGAATTTTTTAGTCGTTGAAGTTGGAAGTGAAGTCGGCGAAAATTAGCATCTTCGACAACTGCCTCTATTTACGTCTACTCGAAGTGCTAAAATCGCTTAAGCTGCTCCATACATTCGGAAAAGGTTGAGGTAGAAGTCTCAGCAAGGGAATCTCAATAGGACGCTTTGGAACTAATTTCAAGAATTTCAAAGTTGGCAACCTTCACCTTGCCAATATTGGGCAGGCTCACGTCTGTTCCACCTGAAATTTCATGCTAATAGTTGAATTAATTGAATTTGAATATATTCTAATACTACGAGAAGTTTGCTATTAAACGATATTAAGCTTGCTTGCAAAACGTTTTACTTTTGGAACAAATTTTTCGATTGAAAAAAACGGCCATTACTTATTAGCCAGCCCACTGCTAGTGGGCTGGCTAATAAGTAATGGCCGTTTTTTTCAATTGAAAAATTTGTTTCAAAAGTGAAAAGTTTTGCAAGCAAGCTTAATATCGTTTAATAGCAAACTTCTCGTAGTATTAGAATATCAAATTCAAATTCAATTAATTCAACTATTAGCATGAAATTTCTAAATAGAGGCAGTTGTCGAAGATGCTAATTTTCGCCGACTTCACTTCCAACTTCAACGACTAAAAAATTCACAAAAACTATATCCTCAACCAAAGCTTTTTTGATATTCTTATACTACGAGAAGTTTCCTATCAGATATAACTTGCTTGCAAAACGTTTCACTTTTCGAACAAATTTTTCAATTGAAAAAACGGCCATTACTTATTAGCCAACCTAATATTTTCCACGCAGTCCGTATACTTGTTGATCTCCAAAGCAACACTGAAAAAAGATGCAGCAACAAACAAGTTGTCCCCAGTTGTCCAAGCCCAACCCTCTCTGATAGTATTACTTTCTACAATGAATGATTATGATGTAGAGAAGTTTTGAATAGGGGAATGAACCAGCAAAAGCTCTGCCGGTGACTCGGTAACGAGTAGAGGCAATCATTTCTACCAGTAGTAGACTGCAGCCGAGCTCCAACAACCTCATTTCGGGAAGAAGGT